GCACAACTATTTTCCTCTCTATAAATGTGAGAAAGAAAAAGTTCATGAAATAATCCCTTTTAATCCAAAGTTAAGGCCAATACTTCTCATGCAATTGTGACTTCCCTCATCACTGCTTTGAATTCATCTTGAATGGAGGAGGTACTGATGAGATATTTAAAGAAGGCCAAGATGAAGTCTCTATTATTGTACTTGAATATACCGCCATAACCCAAACGGTAAGTCTCATGATTGAAAGCCTCGTTAGAGTTACATTTTAACCGATCCATGTGTTGTGGATGTCAAATCACTTCATTAATGTTAGGAACTCTAGGGTAGTGAATCTTGATGTCAAAAGCTTTGAGAAGGGTAAAGTCCTATGTAACACCCCAAAAATCATAATCAATTATTTAATTAGTTATTTGTGATTATTTGGGAATTATTATGATTTATATGATGCATCACGGTGTTTGGTGATGGTATGTTGTGAGGTAGTGTTGGAATATTAATATATGAGGAGTATTTGATTAGTTTATAATTATTTGGAATTTAAATAATTATTTTTGATTTATTGGATTTAATAATAATATTTAGAATTATTATTATTAATAAAATAAGGAATAATGGTGTAAAGGTAAGAAGGGCTAAATGATAATGTCACGTGGATTATTGAGGGCAAGATGATAATTGATAGAAGGTTAAGTGAGGACAAGATGGGTAAATATTAGGGGTCCTATTGTTAAACAAAGAATAGGAGTAGTTATTTTGTTTTGTACGATCGTGAAAGAATTGGAAGAAGAGCAAAGAGAAAAGCTAGGGCACGAAGGATTTGGAGAAATCATCGTAAGAAACGCGAAGAGGAAAGTTGATCACTCAAAATCTAAGGTAATGGGTTTAATCGTGTTTATTATAATCGATCTAAGGTTTAGATAATGGTAGGTTTATGTTTAGTGTGTTAATTTTGATGAAGTTTGATGAAATTGATGAAAAACCATGTGTTGAATTAATGAATGGATACTTGATGAGTGTGTGATATTAGGACCTTTAAATGAGTTTTATAGGCTGTTAAGAATATTGTATAATCATATGATTTTGAATTTTGAAACTGATACTTTTTACGAAATCGAATTCGGAGGTCCGGAAGGCCTCTAACCATGGAAAATCGCAGAAGGAGAAGTGGTGTCTGATTAGCATCGTCGGGTGATGCAGAGGCGACGTAAAGACAACACAAGTTTCGTCGGGAGATGCAAAGGCTTCGTCGGGCAATGGATGGTGGAAGCAATGCAACATAAATCTTTAAAACATCGTAACTTGAGTTCCAGGAGTCCGACTAACGTGTCGTTCGAAGCGGTGGAAAGCTGGCATGATGAACTATATGAGTTTATTGATGCATGACTACAATACCTATTTTTTATGATATTGATTCATATATGTTGCTATGCCATGATGTTTTATCTTGGGGATTTGTTAATGATATTTTCGTGACGTAAATGAAGTGATTCATGATGATTATTTAATGATGTATGTGTACAAATACAATACATTCTATTGTGATAATTCAATGATGTATGTGATGTTTTCTATATTATGCTATTGTGATGTTGTGAAACCATGATGTTGGATGTGTTTTGTGGTTTTCTTTGATGTGAAATCACAAGAAGACTTAGGATTGAACAGTGCAGGGATCACAATAGAAAGTTGCCATCTGGTGTGCATTGTTGGACAATAAAGGTGGTGTCGTTGGGCGATGAAGCTTTTATATGCTGTTTCCAGGCGAGCTTGGAGGCGATGAAGGGCAGAAAAGAGGATTTCTACTGGAGTGCTTCACTCGCACCTTCGCTAGGCGATGCAGAAGCGATGAAGTTTCGCCAGGCGAGAAAGAGGCTTCGTTGGACGATGATGTCCAGATTTGATTGATTGTGTCAGATGTTCTTAAAAGAGACATAAATTGAGATTTATAACTCGGATTGAGATACCGTTCGAAGCCTAGGGTAGCTAATGCAACAAACTTTAGTTAGATGGACTAAAATGAGATAAAATAAGTATTCCCTAAATAAAAAAGTTAGGATGGAGTTAGGTTCCCCATGTTGAATTACACTAATGCTTGTTGGCTATGATGTTATGATGATATTATTATGATGTTTGTTTATTTAAGACGATATAATGATGATACCTTATATAATATGAGGACATGATAATGAGTTGTGTGTTATGCCGATGCTTAGATATTATGATGATTAGTTGATGATATGTTGATAGTGATGTTATGATGATGATGAACTGTTTATCATGATGTTGTTTTATTTACGATGAAGTTATGAGGTGTTGTTGATTACTATGATGGTAATGATGTTGGTGGCCTGAATTGACACATTGTTGAAGGCCCATGCCTTGTGGTTGTTTAATTTATGTTTTTGCATGTTAATATTACATTCATATCATTGGTGAGGGTTCATGCCCCGTTGTTGGCCTGTAATAGCATTGTGGTGAGGGCTTAGGCCCTGTTATTGCCCAAATTGGCATATGTGATGAGGGTTTATGCCCTGTTGGTACCATATGCATTTAGTTATTATCGGTTGCATTACATTGCACTGCCTTGATTTGATGTCATGCTAAATGAGTTAAGACTATGTTTTGATGATTTGTGATGAAGATGTGCATATGTTAGTATGATGTAAATGTGTGAGTATAATACTTGGTAAATGACGATTGAAACAACCGGCTGAAAATCATCAAAACAATGAAGTCGCCATCGAACGTCTTTTATCCCAAAGGTAGGGAAAGGTAAACATCGAGGAAACCTGAAAAGAGTGAAATCAAGGTCGAACGACCAAGAGATAAGGGTAAGGGAGTCTGTTACGCGAGGGGAAGGTATTAGCACCCCACACGCCCGTAGTACTCTACATTATCCACTCTTGTTGTCTATCTTATGGGTGTGTTTAATCTATGCTTACGGCTTATTATACTACTGAAGGGAGAATGCATGCAAGAGAAAAGAGGAAAGAACGCAGGGAAAATAAAAGTTATGCTCGTTCGGGCCCTACCCCGATGCCTACGTATCCTTTTTAAGGAATCAGAGCAGCCGTAGTTCGGCTTATATGTTTTTGTCGATTTGTATTTTTTAATGAACAACATTAATTTCGCCTTCTGCTGCAACTCAACCTTCAGAGACTTACGCGTCAGCACAGAAGTGAATTAACATGCTCTTTCTGAAAAGTGTTTGGAGAAAACGTGCCTGGGCGCACAAAAGGTTTGAATTTGTTTGTTTTTGAATGAACGATAGTAATTTCGCCTTCTGCCGCAACTCGACCTTTGGAGATTTACGCGTCAGCACAGAAGTGAATCAACATGTTCTTTTGAAAAGATTTGGAGAAAATGCGTTTGGGCGCAAAAAAGTTTGAATTTGATTTAGGTTTTTAATGAACGATATTAATTTCGCCTTCTACCGCAACTCGACCGTTGGAGACTTACGCGTCAGCACAGAAGTGCATTAACATGTTCTTTTGAAAAGGGTTTGAAAGGAAGGCCCAGAGGCAACAAGAGTTTGTGTTGGTTGATACTTTTTGCTTGTAGATAATAGCTAGTTAATCTCAAGAGAGAGATTTTAGCCATTTCTCTACTTATTCATGAAATGAGTCTTTGAGACTTAAACCACACCAAAGCTTAGAATAAGAGATCAATAAGGTCGAGAAGAGACCCGCTTATCGTCTCACATACTTAACGAAGATATGATTCTCGTCAGTAGATCTTTAGTATTTTGAAGTTTTGTAAAAAAAAAAAAAAATGTTTGTTTTAATGTATATGCAAAAAGGGAAGGAAAAGTCCGATGGGACTAGTCTATTCCTAAACCTAATTTTATCATGCGCTGGTGGTCCTAAGATTTGGAATTTTGAGAGAATTCTACCTAATGTTAGCATACATAGCTGTAGAATCCTAATGTCCAGTTTAGTTCAATTAAATCGAAGATTAAATTTGAACCTAAATATCCTAAGGTATCATGGTATTTACAAGGATAACGTAAAAACTAATAAGCAATAAAGTGCGAAAATGAGGAATAAAATGGGGTCACGATGATACCGAACGGAGAAGGTCCGTTGCCTCTTCGAAATCATGCAAGCAATAAGAAGACTCTACCGAAACCTCCTTGAGTTTCTTTGGTGAAGATTAGGCTCTTAAATACTTTGCAACCTCTTGAAAATCTTCAACAAAATTATCACACAATCCATTAATAATCAAGCACCATCCTTATAAAATTAAATTGAAACGAGGATAAGAAGTGAAGTTTCTGTATGGTGCAAAACTGTAGTTGGTGGTATGCAAGAAGCAAAATCTAAGTGCTAGGCCCACTGAATGAAGATCTAAAAAGAGATTTTGTTTCAAGTCTTGTGATATACCAAATACACGGAACGGGCCCCATGGTAGTGAAATTCGGTCCCTGATCCATATAATCATCCAATCCATATTCTATCAATTTTAAGCACCAATTATATTATTATTAATATTTATTGAATAGAATTAAAAAAATAAATAAATTAGAATGAAAGAGGAATTAGGGTTTGTTCGTTGTGACTAATGAATTTCTTCAACAAAATTCTCCATCTTCTCTAAAAACAAAACGCGCCGCGACAATATTATCCCCTCCGACCACTCTTGCTCATGCCACCGTCGTGACTGCTCCGTCTTCTCTACCTTAATCTCAAGAGCCTCAGCCATTTTTCAATCGCGGCTACAGCTATTTATGAGTCACCTAGTAGCTCCATTAATTCCGCCTCAAGCTCCTTCAATTCCGTCACATCGGCTTCGTCTTCTTCTCAATTAGTTTCTCACTTCTATTGGAAGACAAGTCCGGCGCGTGTTCAAAACTCAGGTATGCGTATTTGATTCCATTTTCTCTTCTTCCCTAAATCCAATTACGTTTCGATTATTGCTCAAGCGTTTGTTGTTGTTGTTGTTGATTGAAGGTACGGTGAAGATGAAAGATGATTTTCGATGGTAGTTGGATTTGTTGTTGGTGTGACGCGATGATGATGAAAGACGAAGCTTTGTTGATGAAATTGATTGTCAGAGATATGTTACAACAAGATGATTGCAGATGGATTTTTGCGATGAAGGCTGCATATTCAAAATTTGAAGTGGGTGGAAATTTTCTGGGTTACAGTAAGGAGTGTCAAGATTGAAGGTGGAGGTGAAGGATGAATGGTGATAATGGTTAAAGATATGGTTTTGGTGCAGATTGGTTGTTCTTGAATGTCATAGCCTAATGCGTTTCTTGAAATAACGTATAACGAGGTTGTGATATCCAATTTATTGAAGATGAAAGAGGGTGATGAAGAGTAGAGTAATTCTGGTGAAGGGGCGATTTAAAGAACATGAAGATGAAGTTGATGAAATTCGATTGGAGGAGTAATTTGCGGTGGTTGCAGAGAAGAGTAAGAACTGTGAAGAAGTTTCAGAAGATGATGAAGCAATATTGATGATTATGCGATTTCAGAGAGAATTGGAAGGTGAGTTTTTTTTTGTGTTGAATCATAAAATCATCCTCAAACTGAATGATAATCTCCCTGTTATATAGATTTTCTGCTATATTGTTTAGAAGATGGGATTTGGTTAGAAACTGTTTAGAGTTTGTTAGGAGTTGGTTTGGAGTTTGTTAGGACAGTTAGAAAATCCTGTTAGAAGTTATGCAGTGTTGCTTAGTTGGGTTAAAAGGAGTTAGTTATAGAATTGGTTAGGAGTTAGTAACTGTTTAGAGTTAGTTTTTTTGAAACTGAAATTCAGTTATGTGACCTTGAAATGGGCTGGCACTATTTGTTAGTTAGTAGTTCTGTTTCTGATTCCATCATTTATATTTGCAGCATGCAGGGCAGCACCAAGAACTATTGCTTCATCAGCATCAAGATGCCAATCAAGTTCTTTTCTACCAAGGAACTCTTGAAGCTTAGCCTGTAACTTTGGCACTCTGGTAGCACCTCCAATTAGCTCCACTGTATATATTTGATCCGCTGACAAGCCTGAGTGCTCAAGCAACTCTTTCATACAAATCACGAGGCCAATTCCTCTTTACATTATTTGCAATAAAACTGGAAGTCTTAGCCCTCAAGGCACGAAGCGATCCATCAGAGTCTGCCACATTGTCCAGACAAGTCAGAGCAACCTTCAAGAGGTCTGGTATACAAGCTTGGACATGAGGAGATAAATTTTCAAACACCTCAACAGAAGTATCAGGTTCTCGAGGATCTAGAGGCGAAAATGGAAGTTTAGCAACCTCCCTTAAAGCATCAATGTGATTCCCAAGTCTTGACAATTTGTGAATTGATAATATTGACTCAAGTTGTCTTCATTTCAATTTAATAATCCACCACACTGTAGTGAAATTGTATACATAACTAATTGTTAATTAAATATAAAATGACACTGCATTTTCGGTCTTAACTTCTTCTTTGCCTTTTACTTCCTTATTGATGACCTTATTCTATGTGGATGAGTTAAGTTCAGTTGAACTTCTCTTTTTTTTTTGTGCACACATCATACATGTCTAAGATAACAAATGTATTACGCACATGGGAGCATCTGGGTGTGGGAAGGAAACAAATTTGTTCTACAGTATTCAGAGTATTATTTCTCCAAAACAAAAACAATCTATATAATAAACTTATTATAAACTGTTAACATTTGTCATAAAGTCCAATGTAAGGATTCCATTGGCAACACATAACAGACACAAAGGAAATCATCATTTTTTTCTTTACTCTTCTGCGGCGCTGGCGGCACTAAGATTCACAGAGAGGTCGAGAACCTTGCCGGTTATCAATGTATACATGTTGAGGACATCCACTACTGTTGACTCAAAGTGTGTGGTAGCATCATAACTGGTTGATACAAAGCAGTTGTCTAGAGTGGGTTCATTGACTGGTTCATATCTATCGTACATATCAAAAAAATATCTCCTCAACAGGTCCTAGAAGGTCAATCCCAGGTTTAAGTTCAATAGCAGGCTGATCTGTCTCTGCCTCAGTTGATACAAATGCAATATATTTTCCCTTTGGGCAAACATTGTGAGAATGCGAGCAACATAATAGGTACATGTCTGACTTTCGACCCAACTGCTTCTGTGGGAGAATAACTTGCACTGATTGGGAGTCATTGGTGCTGGGGATCGGATGGCTCATGATGGTTATTGCTCTTGCAACCTTTCCAACCTTCCTCACCTTGCCAGGCAAATATGATGGATCACAAACAACTTTCTTGCACTTGGCAGTTTCCCCTTCAGATGTGACACCAATAACCTTTCCTTCAGCATCAAATTCTACCTTGCATTCAGGTTTGTTCAACATATATGTACCACCATAAACAGCACTAAGCCTTGCAAATGCCTGGGGGAGCTCTCCTAAACCATACAAAGGGTATATGTAGGGTGATCCCCCTTGAAATCGTGCAAGAGACTCTGCATATAATTTCATTCTCTTCACAGTGTCCAGAGCTAGCTCACTCAAGTAGCGATCATCTCTATGAAGCGCCAAAGCATGACCAATGAAATCCACAGTGTTATCATCAAGGCCAAATTTTGCTATCATGTCCTTAGTAGTCACTCTTGTCAAGTCCAGCCCCTCATGAGTTTTAGGATCACTCTCATTATAATCTTGAACATAAATGAAAAACTTGCGCGCACGTCGTTTTTCAAATATCCCCATAAGTGGAGATTTCAAGGCCTCCATATCATTTGAAGGTACTTTGTGAACCTTTGCTTTGTTAAAGACAAAACTTCCATCCACAGCTTTAAAATAGAGATACTTGGTGACATCAGTATGAATGAGAACCCTCACTAACATGCCATTAGCCATAATGAACTTAGGGTTCATGTCAATATTATAGTCTTTGCTAGAACCCAAATGTGGAGGAGGTTTATCATCTCCTCTGAATTTCTTCCAAAGCTGAATAAGATTGAGCGAGGTGGATTCTCCTCCGTAATAGTCATTTCTATCCATGTGAAGAACCTTGAGGCCATCGACGGAGAGAAGACCACTGAGAATGCATTCCTTGAGACCGGTTCCCAAAATGATGACGTCGTACTCTTCATCCATTTTCTTGGATCTCGGATCGGAATGAAAAGGGGGTTTAGGGTTTCGAAATAAGAAAAAGACAGAAGAAGAAGAAAGATGGATCTTGATTTGATTGTCAAATAGTCTAACTCAAACACTTTGCCTTCAGAGATTGCTTCTATTCGGTGGTGGTGACGATCATGTTGTGTTTCTTAACTTTTAGTCCACTGCCAGAAGTCCTAAGCTCCTTAATAGATGTTAGGCTAGGTAACTCCTTTGGAAGATACTCAAGTCTTGAACTCTCAATATTAAGCTACTTAAGATTACGAAGAAGCCCAATATATAGGTCAAGTGTTTGAATCTCTATACTGCTTAAATCCAAGTTTTCAATGAAATCCGAGGAGACGGCAAATTCCTCGAGACTTGTGCAGCCAATGACACTGATCTTTTCCAAAAAAACTTTAAATGTTTCCGGCCTTTAACACTCCTAAGCTTCGTACAACCGTCAAGTATCAGAATAGTAAGTGTTTCATCCAAAAGAACGGATGAATGAAGATCCACCGGACTCACACAAATATAATGCTTTTGAGGAGCTGATAACGAAGATGGAAATATGGAAGAAGTATAACCAAGATATCCTTAAAACTACTAATCCACATTGACTTGTATTGTGAGCAAAAACTAACGATGATGAGAACAAAAATGGCCTTGATCAACATGAATCTATGGTACCATTCCTTATGCCATGACCTTATACTTTTCAATTCAACCCCACAAGTCCTTTGTTTTGTCAAAAAATGTCTTTGTGGGATCCTTGAAGAAGATAAAATTTGAAGCTTAGAAGGATATCCTCTAATCATTCCTCATTGATGAACATCAACAAACTCACACACAAAATGCAAAACCTTAACCCGCTTGTATTAGGTGCACAGTGACGACTTGAGACATGGATAGAATAATATTCAAAATGTCTTCGAAATGAAACAAAGCATTATCTTCCAATAGACATAGGGAAATAAACCCAAATTTTCAGACTTAACAGATAAAACCTTGCAACTTGATTTTTGAGATGAAGAGAATAACCTCGTAGCTTGATAAAGAAGAAATCCACAACAACCGTCAATCAAAAACCCTAAATTCACAATTCAATGCACCAGAAGAATCAGTCTTGTTTGATAAACACTCCGAACCAAAAGAAAACCCGAGCTTCACAACCAATGATTCTCTGAACCATGATTCGACAAAACCCGAATTGGTTAATTGAAGAGTGGATGAATGCCATGTCAAAGTCATTAAGCATGTTGTTTATCAGAAAATAATAGCCTTGCTGCTTGAGGGAAAGGAAGTCCAAAAAAAATGAGAATGAACCAAAACCCTAATTCCCCAACTTGCTGACACCAGGGAGACCCTGAATAATCAGGCTCATTTCACACATACACCTTAAATCAGTTGTAAACTTTAGCTCCCTAACTGCTGGTCTTTTGAACCTCAGGCGATCTATTTTTATGAAAAATGCGTGCTATGCAAATGACCCATTGGAATGATGCAGATGAATGCAAAAAGTCTAAGCCAAATAAAAGAGATTAGGAGGGCAAATTTTGGGGTGCAACAACGATGTATAAATTTCATGATTGATGATTGTTTATAACTACTATATCTTTTCCTTATATCTTTTGTAATGAATTGTGATTACTCACACTTTCTGTTTGAATGTTGCCTCCACGTGGGTAACATGCAGGTGACCGAGAATAGTTCGTAGAAGCGTGAGGATAGCTTGGAGTCTTTAGTGTGTTTCTTTTGGATAGAGAGGATCTTGCTCTGATACGTAACACGGGATTTGGGAACTTGCTATGTTTTTGCATTGTTTTATTATCACGTATCTTAATTAAAGCTTATGTTGAACCACAAATTTTGGGAGAATGTTGTTAATAAAGTTGTGGTGCTATGAAAATGAATAATTGGATATTTTCGCTGTGTAAATGATTCTTTTATGAGAAATGAAGTAATAAATTGATTTGAAATATTATGAATTTTTGAAGATGTGACATCCTACTTGTGTACTCTGGTATATTTTCATATATTATATTATAATTATTTATATGGGTGTTTACAGTGATTTCTGGTAAACAACCGCTAGTCCTCCAAACTATCGAATAATCTTACTGACTGTTATTCAATCTCTCTGGTAACTCGCAGGATCGACTAGATTGATCCTAGGATGTATTGGTCATTAGGATAACTCTCATTATAGAACTGGTATTCATGGTTGGTATTTAGAATGTTGTGTAGGTGTTTAACTTACTTCGATTACTCTATTAAAGATCTAAAGGCGTGATCAAGTAAATGTGCGCGAAACTAAATTGCATGAATAAAGTTCAATTGTAAAGACATGTAAAATTACATAAAAGACAAGTAAATGACTTTGAGGCATAAAAACATGTAATGTAAAAGATTCTCTGGAATGTAAAAGATTCGAAATATGAAGAAAGCGTTTAAATGCAAGGAAACAGTAAAATGACTTTAAGTGAAAAAAGGTGTTCGAATGATAAAAGCTTGAAGATAAAGGCATGAAATTTACAACAATTTCTGAAATGTAAAGTATTTGAAATGGAAAGAAAGCATTTAAATGTAAGGCATCAGTAAAAAGACTTCAAATGAAAACATTTTAATGCAAAAGCTTTTGAATGGTATTGACATGAAGATAAAGGAAAATACTGGAAATGATAAAGAGTTTCATTAAATCATAAACACTTGGTGTTATCATACGTACATTGCTCGTGCATTCGTTTCCCTAGCCATGTGGTATTTTGAATGTTTACTGAGTTTTTTGTACAATAGATATGACACACGAAATCCTAATACTAAGACTTCTATTTATACTACTTCGACCATAACGGTCTTGCTATAAGATTCTGCCACGTTCAGAACATGCAGAGCAATGCCTCTTTCTAGCTTCCACGCATCTTCGAATGCTCCAGCGCATATATTTTGAATTTCGAACATCCCGCTTGCATTTGAATTTCAAATGTTTTGGCACTTCTTCGCTTCGAACGCATTTCTTGGACACAGCCTTGTTAACATTTCGAGACTTCTTTGAATATATTCTCATAACTGTCACTCGAAGCTCCAAGCTTTGATATGACCATTCGAAGCACTGCTTCTACCATTTCGAAACATGACATCTTGCTTTATTCCAATCGAAACGTCCAATTTGCTTTGCTTCTAATAATATCATCAAAATCTTCAGCCAACAAAATGCCCCTTTAAAATATGTATTTCGATTCCTTTGAGAAATACTTATTTTAAACATATACACAAGATTTTGATGCGACCTTCGAATCATCGTAACATTTATTGCATATGACTCCAGTCACGTCAATCACAACGCTTTTCGGATTCCTTAACCGCCTTGAACCATTTCACAGCATGGTGCAGTTACAAAACAATGATTATCTTTAATCACGCCTATTACCAATATTAACTTTACGCCACCTCCTCATCAAACCAACCCACGACTACCACGTATCACAATCTTACTCAGTGGATGCTTAAACTTCCACACTATAAAAACCCATCAACTTAGTCTTTTCTTTTCTTCCCACATTCTGAATCTTTTCTTCCTCTTTTCTCACTGAAACCCTAAAACTTCCAACATTCTTCCAACAATGTCTTCTTCAACTTCATCTCAACTGAAAAAGGCTTCCAAAAAGAAAGGGAAGACCACAGGAACCACAATGGAAAGCAAGGTTGGCACCTACCAAGGTCAATCTGTTCTTGTTCCCCAAATGATCTCAAAAGAGAAGGAAATGCTTTATGCATCCCAGGTACTAATTCCTACTATCGCCGCTGGCAAGAGGTTAGCTTTAATGGGCCCTCTTACAGTCTTTGAAATCTTAAAAGACACCAGAAAAATTTTCCCTGTTTGTTATAATTTCAAACCTCTGTTTAATAAAATGGATACCCCTAAGACAATAGAGTCTTCTGATTCAACCACCGTGGAAAATACAATCATTCCCCCTAAGGACCCTTTTGTGCTAGATTATGTAAAGAGTAACTTCAAACCATTTCGATCTTGCCCCACCTCCGACACAGCTTATCACAACTGGTTTAATAAAGTAGAAGCTAAGAAATCCCAGCAATGGGAAGAATTAGGCATTTACAACTTGATTAAACTATCGAAACCAGGTTTTACTTATAGCCACCCATTGTTATTCGCGTCCCTATATTTCTGGGACAGTACTTACAATACTTTCCATCTCCCTGGTGGAATGATTACACCCACCTTTTTTGACATAGCAGCCATTACTGGGTTATCACCAATAGGAGAAACCTATATTCCTGACAATGAAGAACATTCGAGTATTATTGACTTCAAAGTCAAGCTAGCTAGCTTTTCAAAGTTTATCAGCCACTATCACACTGAAGGAGACAGTGTGTCGGATGTGGAACACATTGCTTTCCTTACCTTATGGTTGTCAAGGTATGTCTTTTGCAGCAGATCCCTACAGGTAGCCAATAGGTTTATTCCTCTAGCTAGAGATTTCCATGAGAAATAAATTCGAAGAGACCATGGCGCCTTTTGCTTCAAGGACTCATGGACCCTCATGGTTCACCATGGCTCTCTCAGAAGCTGTCAAAAGCAAAGAAATTCAAGATTTATGGAGATCTTTTTTGTTACCCAGACTAATCTCTTCCCGAATTACTCCTGCTAAGAATCAAATTTTCCTTTTTGCTTATCAACCCAACTTCGTTTCGAGACAATTTGGCTTGTGCCAACTAATCCCTGAACCCCTATTCCTAACGGAAAATGCCATCACCTCTGGGCGAACCTTCAAGGCAAGAGAAGCCAAACTACAGTAGGAACAATACCAAGGCTTCGCCCATTTTGAACTAATAACTTTCGAACCTACACACCTTACAGCAAAGGGGTTTCTGGAATGGTGGACAAAGTTCTATCAGACTTATATGTTCGATACTCTTACTATTCAGCAGAAACTAACTGATGCATTCGATGTGCAGGTACAATCCAAGAAAGGTATGTTCACTCATGCCAAAGAGATTAAGGCTTTTCAAAATTATTTCGAAACTACTTATGATCCCACACACTTGGAATCCACTGTGCATCAAGCGGCTGAGACCTTGAAGGAAAAATTCAAAGAAAAAGTTTCTAAGTTAAAACTTCCTTCAGGGTTGTCACCTGAGGATAGGTATAGGTTGGCATTCGAAATGCATCCACCTAAATTTCCTAGATTACCTACCTCAGAACTGGCTCTGGCTTGGTTTCCTCCATACCCTTGGTGGTTCACTTACAAAGAAATGTTCAAATATCTTCAAAAGAAACCAAAGCCATCTGAGACTGTGACATGGGCTCGATATTAGCTCCATGATTTCCCAAGACATCTTCGCTATGACCTTTCTGCCATGTCGATTAAATCTGATCAAGGCATAGGTGCGAATGCTTGGGAAAATCCCAAATGTTTCTCATTTTCTATATTTTTAACTTTTGCCTTAATTGTTTCGATTTTCAGCCATCAGAATAAAGACTGCTGCTTCAAAGTCAAAAGAAGGGAGCGCCTCTCAGGCCTCTGTCGAAACCATTGATAATGTGACTCTATCCAACCCAACAACAATTGCTGCAACAACAACAACAACAACACCAGTAATAACCAGTGCTCCAACTCCACAGGTAATCACTTAGCCTTGATGTTTCGAATACACTAATGTTTCATGATTTGCATCTAACTTATTGTTTAAATCTTTTTAGACCAACAAACTTCCGCCAACCACTCCAAAGAAGCGAAAAACAAACACTACTGGGGAAGACCCCAAGGCTGGAGGGAATTTACCAGATGCTTCGAAGAAGAAGCAGAAGAAGGAAATTTCCAAAAGTGTTGTACCAACTAGTGTCTCTGGACTCGATTCTAGGGATGTTGCTCCCTCACCTAAATCCAAAATCCCATCTTCGACCTCCAACGTAATGTTGGAACGCATAGCTAGCAACCTCTCTTCTGAGAGTCCACAGGTAAATTGAACTTTAAATCTTTGACAAAATAATTATTCATTACCTTGGTGCATGCTTTTAATATTCTTTTGCCTCTTGCAGGATATTTTGAATCCAGCTCTTACCACTTCGACTTCACCATCAAAAATTGCTGCTCCGATCAACTCTTCTCCTCAAGGGGATTCCAGCAATCTTGTACAAAACAAAGGTTCCTCCAATATGGCAGTTCTGGCTGGGGCTTCTGAGCAGCAAGATGATCAGAGTACTTCTCCTCCTCTAAAAGAAACAAATG